CAAAAGCTTAATTAACTTGGGAGCAATAAACCTATCCACATGGCATTGCAAATTTTCCCTTGCAAATTCTGTTATTAGCCCCGCTTGTGTATTTTGGGCAGTAGTGGTGCCTCTCCTCTGGAGCACTTTGCACTAATGAAAAGGTGTCGCGTTAGGTCAGACCGTGATGGATTGAAAGAACACAACCTCTTGATAGATCTCTGGCACGGCTCTGCATAAGGAGAGACCGCCTCCTCCAGTCGGGGGAGAAGAGGCATCTCTGCCAAAAAACTGTCCCAGAGATGTGATTGATGCCGCTGCACCACAACCTCCCGGCAAAGCTCAATCTGGATAAGCCGCGCGTTGTCCTGCTGGAACCTCCAATATCAACAATTTGCTGATGGAGTCTGGCCAAGTGAACGTGATAATATCTCAGTATCCTTTACCGAGTGTTTTGTTGTTTTCCAAGGTGCATGCAAGTCTGGAGATTTACATTTTTTCTTTAGAATTATATTGTTTTTGTCATTTTTTGTGGTTTTAATTAATAATTGGGACAAATTTCAGAACAGATTTAATGACTTCACATCACATTCAATAAGCGTTGGGACAATATGGTATAACTGCAACAATCATACTGTCTGACAATTAAGAAATTCATAGCAAAACAACTTTTTCCCTCTCTAAGCCCAAAGAATCCTGATTAGTTTTCCATCGCTGTAGCCCACTGGCTGTCTCTCCGAAATCCCAGTGAAAGTTTGGATTTGGCTGCCTCGCTGCTGCACATTGGCTCATTCCCTCCGCCTCCTGACACAACTTGCCAGAAAAGAGTTTTTCTCCCTCCCACAAAACTTTGCAAATCAGTAGAGAGTGCATATTATTCGCTATCAACCTTGACCAGCTGTTAAAAATTAAGCAGTGGGAGAAGAACGCTGTGGCCAACTGGAAAACAGAGTTTGGTTTAACACACACACTCACACACACCACGTTCAGCAAGGCCAAATCTCGAGTTATGAACTGCTGTACATTGTGAAAACAACAGAATGGGAACACAATGACCACGTGTGAATTTTCAGGAATATGTCTCTTAGATGGAAACCCACTGACTGAATAAGACTCTGATTTGTTATCAGTGGAGCCTTCTAAGTCTCCGAGCTGGAGACTTAAGGCTTGGACTCACGAAAGTTAGTTGGGACTTGGGACCTCACTTGCTCAACTGTGTTGTGAGGCTCGACTTCCATTCTTGTCTTGGTAAAATCCTGAAAAACAAAAAGTTAAATCTCAACATATTACCACAACTTTGAAAGTGCCATTTAATGGTCGACATTCACAGACAGGACTTACAATTTGCTTCAGAAGACTCAGACCCAGAGTTTGACGTTTTGGGAAATACCCTTCTTGCTGGGAGTTAGCAGTGACTTCCTAGTATTGTCATAACCGTGAGGTGGCCAGGCAACCAGTGGAGACTCAAGGAAGTATCTGCGCACATAAAGCTGCAAACTATCATTTTTACACTTGTGCGGATAAAATGTGTTTTAATTTGTGAGCTTAGAGGTGCTGGTACATTGTTACCGTCTCAATGTTCTCATGTACCTCTTCCATGAAAAAATGTGGTGTATTTCCTAAAATGTTGAACTATTCACATTAGGTCTATGAATTTAAAGTTCTTGGTCTTGCCTGTAATAAACACTTTTAACAAAGCTTTGAAAGTAAAAGCTTTAAATGCTGTGTCATTTAATGATTATCATTCGGAGACATGCAAGACTTGTTTCTTGACTTGAACTTGCACCCTAACCCATTAAACAAAACGTAAAGCACATTTTCAATAGAATTCGGTGTCGTGCATCCTTGTTTGCAGCTGAGAGTTCACCCATGATTCACTGCATGTAGCGTTTGGCAGCGTGCCACATTAATCGCCAGGGTATAATGGGAAGACAGGCTTATTGACCAGTAGTCCAATAGGACAGAGGGGCAGGACACACAAATCAAAGCTGTCCAGACTCATATTGACCAGACTGTCCACAGCAAGCCAGATTCATTTGCTGGGTGACGGAGGGAAGGAGACGGGGGCTGAGCGCATGCAGGAAGTCACAGGGATTTGATTCAGCTCAGACCTGCACAAAATGATGCTTGAATATGTATTTTAAGAGCAAGACTCCAATTGGTATAGTTTAATCCTGTCAGATAATCCGCCACAGTGAACCAGAATCCAGTGATGAAGGTGTCTTGTGTTGATCTTGTGATGTACTCTTCTGTCTTTCTTGTCACGCTTCAGCTGTTTGTCCGGTAATGAAGAAAAATGTAATGTAGACGGCAGAGAGTTTACTGACTGATAAAAGCATCAGGAGACCTTTCCAAGAGTTGTAAATCATATTAGTGCACCTGTATTTAAGTGTTTTGGGCATCAGGTCTGAATTGATCTTCGGTTGGAGCTCCATTCTTCCTCTGTTTTTTTTGTAATAGGCTTTATTGACAGCTGATATATCATAAATAAATGAATTTCATTCTCAGGAGCAGATCGCTCTTTTAGAGCAGCTGTATTTTTCAAAGACTGTCACTTCAGTAAAGCAGGACGAGAAGTTTTGTTTACTGTCGCTACAGTTCATTGTGGAAATCAAAGATCCAAAGCAGAGAGCTGAGATGAATGCGCACTTTGCTGCCAAGTGAGTTTCACAAGCAATCTATGAAATGCAGTTGGAGAAAAAGAATCAGCTATGTGGTGAACTGTAGACATTTTAAATTAGTACTGTAACACCTGTACTTTTTCTACTTTGACAAGTCGAAGTGTTTGCTGAGAAGAAGGCCTGTTTGTGAGTGACTATAGTTCTGTATCTTACACATCATACTTACTTTAAACGATCCAAAGCAAATCAACGCAAATCAAATCAGATACTGAGGAGCCTTTTTCCACTTTTCTAGTTAACGAGCAGGTACTTTTTCCCGATGACGTGGGACTGATTCTCTTTACTACATGCACATGAAACTTCTCCTTGAAAAGCCTGGATTGAAGAGCACACCCTATCACATCTGAGCTTTATAGATATACCAGCTCTGATCAATGTTTGTTTGACAAAAAAACTTTAAATCTGTGTTTCCTATGGAGACAGGAGTGCAGATTTCCATTCACTTTATTTTTGCATCCAGCAGTTCTTGTGGTAAATCTGGAATTAGGTTGGATTTACATATATACCTACCAGACAACCACCAGAAACACAAATATTTACCATATTAACCCTTTAACACAGTCTTTTAAGTACAGGAGTGGGCCGTGACTGTCCCCTTGTGGGCAGAGTAGTGAACATCTTATTGATGTGTTGCCTGGAAGGGTGAAATATTACACATGGAAAAATGTAATCGGTACTTATGCTGCTTTTTGTATTTGTAGGTAAGCTCCTGAAGCACTAACACTGTGTTGCCTATACATTTAGCTTAATGTTTAAGTAGACCTATACATTATTTGGCTCCTTGCAAATGGTGAGGGGCAGAAAATCCATGTGTCAATGACAGTGAGCACAAGTACCACAGATAACAACAAGATTATTATAAAGTTTACCTAAAAGCAGATAGCCTAAACTTTAAAATGATAGACTACTGAGAGATCACTCAGGTAATAATTATCATAATAATAACCTTTATTTATTATATAACATCTTTAAAAACAGCGTTGTAACTATGCATCATTTCCTCTAAAATCTAATCTGAAATTAGACAAATTGTCTCATGAATGTGATTTGAAGTTAGCTCACGAATGAGGAGTCTCGCACAAACTTTTTAAAGGTTTGTGCTTGACTCCTGAAATGTTTGTGTGTGTATTCCTAGCACTCCATAGCACCTCTGTTTCAAGTTTGGTGGCTGTAGCTTGTTCCTTTGGTATAGCTGTCATAGACTCCCATTGCTTTGGGCTGGGGGCGTGGCCAAGCACAGAATAAGGGTTAGGGTTAGGTTTGTTTGAGGGTTTCTTGGGAGGGCCGCGAGGGGCACTGGCACAAGGGGGCTGTCCTTTAATTAATCTAATCTGAAATTAGACAAATTGTCTCATGAATGTGATTTGAAGTTCGCTCATGAATGAGATTTTGAAGGGCTTTAATTTTGAAATGCTACATCAGAATGTCCTGGTTGTCTCTGAGTGACACCTTGAGGTGGTCTGCTATTTATGGAAGCTCATTTGTGCCAGCGAAATTTTAAAAAAGTCAGTTTTTTTTGTTGGGTTTTTTTCTGGCAGAAAAAAAGTTTAAAAAAATAAAATAAATGCACCAGCACTTTTGCTGCATCCATCTGTAACCACATTACAGCCACATTTAAAGTAGTCTTCCATGTACTCACAATCCATTTATATGTCAAATGTAGGTTAACCTATGAAGAGCTGCTTCTACGACTGTTCAGTCGACTATTCAGTTGTTGTTTTTTGCTGATTTACTTTTTTTTCGCCATCTAAATAAATAAATAAAAACTTACAATTATTATTATTATTATTTTTTTTTTTTAGTTACTTTTTTTTTTTGCTGTGGAAATGGGCTTCCATAGCTATTAACCTGTTGTTAAATGATTTTGTAACTATGCACCATTTCCTCTAAAATCTAACCTGAAATTAGACAAATTGTCTCATGAATGTGATGTTAGTTTATGAGATTTTGAAGGGCTTTAATTTTGAAATGCTACTTCAGAATGTCCTGGTTCTCTCTGAGAGACATGGTTAGGGTTAGCCCAAAAGCAAAGGCAGATAAGGCAATATGTGACAACAGAAAGCCAAACGGTGAGGCCAAACAAGAGCAGGATAAAACTAAGACAAAAGAAAAAACAATAGACAATAACAAAAAATATCTCAATAAAATAAATACATTAAAGAGAAAAGCAAATAAAAGCAATACAACAATACAAGTCCAGATAAAAGGACAGTAAAAAGGCATCACACAAAAGTCTAAAAGGGATTTTAATAAGTGATTTAATCGTCTTTCTTATCTTCTCGACAAGAGGCTGAATCACGTCCACCGTCTCCTCCTTTTCTGTGCGTAAGGGGGATTCACGGAGGAGCGGATCGTGCGGACGGACTGACGCAAAGCCGACCGGAGGACTTTCATTTATTGACAACATGTTACGCTTCTGGCAGCAGACGACACGGAGGAGCAACCGGGGCGAGACGAAACCAGGGAGCCTCCATCACCAGTAAGCCTGAGTCATATTTCACTGTGCGCCGTTTGTTTCCTCTGCGTTAGTCGATTCAAACGGCATCGTTCGCGTTTCTGTCGGGCATATTCGGCATATTACAGCGTTGTTGTTTTTGTTTTCATTTCACGCCATCGTTGCTTGTTTTCTTTGTAACGATGACAGAGCTGTATTGCGCGAGAGGCTCATATAGTATTCATTATTTGCGCCTTTACTATGGCTGTTACCTCATTCCCTTATCTGAGCCTATCGGGGGGGGGAAAGATAATTCAATAAGGAGCCTTCACCAGGTGATATAGTGATTTATAGGAGGTCTGTATGTGGACAGCGTATTCAGTGTCAGCGCATCAATAACATTCAGGCTTAATTAGCATCTAATTAAAGTGCAACTTGTTTAACTGGGGCTCAGTAAAGCCGAATGCTATTGATCAGTCATGAAACTGTGGTGAGGCTGTAGATCTGGTTGGTCTGTAATTGTTTTACAAGACATATTGATGTGCAGTGTTATCCAAAATATAATAGGCTATAGATAAATAGATAGTTCTACAGCTTCAGTAGTGTACATGTAATACAATAAACTAGGACCGATTACAGCAGTACAAAACACTGCAGAACAATACAGCATGTAGGCTACACATCAAGGCCATACGCAAAAGTGTTGGTGACTCATCTCCAGGGGACAGTAATTCAGTTATCTTTGTGTATTTGGCAGAACAGAGCTTTAATTACAGAGGGCCAGAGTTGTCAAATAAATTGACTGTAGAAAATGTTCTAAAAACACGCACCCGAATGCATTTTCCCCACTTCTATATTCTCCCTCCCTGTCTTCGTTTCTCACAGGTGACTTGCTGGTTTTGATGCGCGTTTGATTAGGAAGATGGTGCTTTCAGGTGCAGGTGGAGAACTGTAAACGAGTTTGAGGGACAAAAGGGACCACTCAACCTACTTTTTGAAGGATAGAAGTCACTGGAGCCTGATCTTGAGAGGATGCCAGGTTTTCCCCACAGCTGTGTGCTGTGCTGTAAGTATTACGTGTTTGTTTGTGTTGTTTGTATAAGAAATTGTCTGGTCAAATGTACAGAATTGGAACATAGCAGTATTTATTTTCGGCCTGCAACTAATGATTATTTTCATCATTGATTGTTTATCTATTATAAATGAAGAAAAACTAAATTTCCCAAATCCCAAGGCGAGATTTAATGTGTTTTTTTCCAACCAACAAGTCTCTTAATGTCCCCAGCTGTGAAACATGGCTAAATACAATGGATATTTATTAACTTCTGTCTCTGTGATTGGTGTTGACGCAGCACTACAGCTCCCAAACCAAGAAATAGTGTATTTTGTTCTCAAGAGATCCAACTGACCCCAAACATAAGTATCGTCACTATGTAGGATAACACACTGTGCATTTTTTAGGTACATATAAATCATTTGTTCAGTTGTTTTTCCTGAACTAATGTGTTTGCACATGCATATCCCATATGACATATAACATGTGAAGTATTTCAATGTCCGCGAAAAAAACTTAGGACAAGTGATTTATGTAGTTCTAATTAATTTATATCACTCAGCGTGTTGTGTTAGGTTAGAATGAATAGTTACCATGAATCTTTCTGTCTAGTGGGACAAATGTTTGACTTCACTCAGTCAGTATTTCAGCTTCCAATCGTTAAATTAGAATCAAGTGTAAATCTGTTTTTCTGTTTTTCCGCTCTGAAGAAAAGTCCCCGAGGCAGAGCTATGGGCTGTGGGGGGAGCAGGACCGATGCTCTGGAGCCTCGATACCTGGAGAGCTGGACCAAAGAGACGGAGTCGACGTGGCTGACCAGCACGGACACTGATATCCCCCTGTCGTCCATCCAGAGCATCCCTTCTGATAACTCAGAGGCCGGCTTCTCTTCGGAGAAAACAATCAGCCCTGGTATGAAGAATGAATTACGGTTGAGTGGACGGATGAATGAATACTTAATTGGTTTCCTGACGGGAACGGGCAGTAATTTAACTGCTGAACAAATAAATAATGCATTCATGGTTGTATGAATTAGTACTTAATTAGGTTCCCACCACAGAGCACGGAGTATTTGCAAGTTCAATCTTCAATCTTCGTCAAACACTTTCAGAGGTTTTGCACGACTGATTCAAACAAGAAGCACGGAAAATGTAATTGAAGTTGAAAAAACGGTTGTGGTGAGCCTCATGCGTAGATAAGAGTTATGTACGACACAAGGATGTGTGGCAGACCAAACATTTGGAATTTGTTCTTTTAGGGTTCAGTTAGTCATCACATATAGCCTAGAAACAGATGGCTCTGACTATAATACTACTGCTCTTCTGTGCTCCTAATTGCGCGTGTGTTTTCCTTTGAAGCCAAGGGGAAATGAATGTGTAAATGGACATAATAGGCAAACATCAAAAGCCACTGTGTTGAGACGGGTCTTGGCTCTCATGGCAACAGATACAGCGGTTAGCGAATACAGAGAGGAGCCTTGATGTGATTGTGAAGACAAATCCTGTCTTCCATTCTGCGGAGATATAAAACAGATCCGGAATTGGCCAAATTAATCTGAAAAAATGGCAGTTTCAGCATTTGAATTATTATTTCCAGATTATGTGAATAATCGGCGAAATAGTTCACTGAATATAGTCAACATAATTCATATTATATCCTCTCATGTGCCATCTGGTTTTTAGGTCATTCATGAGAATTGTTGTACAATACGGTGTCTAGATAACTCCATGTAATGTTTTAAACATTTCATTTGTTTTTCTGCTAAAATCATTTATTCTGATTGGGTTATTAGAATGTAGTCTGGATGTCCCTACCTTTGTTTACAGCTACTTTATATAAAAAATACATTTTAAAACCATCTTAGCTCAAACATCTATGAGCTTCATTCACCTCTAAGTGACGGAACCTTGTTTAAAAACACTTTGAAGTTGTATCAGGAAGTCCATGCTGAAGGTTCATTGCACCTTTAATATCCAGGATATAGACAAAGCTGACGTTTTGTTTTGTTCCAGTTCCAGATTTCTTTGAGGACAGCCTCCCTCTCCCGGCTCAGGCTTACCTCACGGTGTGTTCGGCCGTGTCTGAAGTCAGTCTGAACGACGTGAAGCCCAGCAGCCCCCCTGCAATACTGGGCTCTCCGCCCAGTGAGGCGGTGTCGCCGTCATCAGGCACGACAGTGCAGCGCAGGAGTGTTCTACACACTGAAGAGATTGTGAGACTCTTGTTGTACATTAAGTAATTAGTAGTGGGAGACCTGTTGTAGCTCAGAGATGCAGAGGATCAAATCATTAGTTTTTATGTTCTGCTCATACGTTAGTTCGAGCTGAAACAATTGCCAGAAAAATAAACAGCACCTGTTTTACTAGACGAATGATTATATTGGTAATTTCTTAAGAAAACAATTGCTACAGCTTCTCAAATGGGACATGTTGATGCTTCTCGTTGATCAAAACATGACATAATATAATCTGATTGATCAATCATTGTTCGCTGCAGCCTTCGTAACATTGTCAGAATTTTGGCACACGCCCTCTATGCTTAAATACATGAACACACTTAAGAACACAATCTGCAGTCTCAGCAAACTTAGCGTTGTCTTTGTATAATATCCCTTCTTTCATTCCTCCTCATCAGACTAAATGGCAGGACAATCGGATGTCGACCAAGCAAGTGACCATCACGGTGACGCAGAGCATCCATCAGGTGGACAAGAACGGGAAGGTGAAAAACTCCCTCACCACCTACGAGGTTATGAAACCCGTGGAAAGCCTCAAACAGGCAGCCGCACACAACACTTGAGTGCAGGAGAGACTGTAGGAAGAAGACTGTGAAACAAGGGAACTGACGAAAGCACAAGGGACTCTACAAGTTTCATCGTCATATTGAAAATATGGCTCATTCTCTAAAAACAAAAACAATGTATCTAGTTCTTAATACAGTCAAATGTACTTCTATGGTGCCTGTTGCAACAATGTCTTGCTGTACTATAGAACATACTAAAACTGTGGATTAGTCAGAGAAAATACAGAACCTGACATTTGACAGTGCATACAGTATCAGACCAAAAATAAATGAAGAATTCATAGTTTATTACAGAAGACAGGAAATCACTTCTTAGCACGTTTCAAATTTCTCAAGTGACCTAGAATCTAAGAAGCCTTCTCATTGCTATTTCACGATGCTTTTGAGGATTAAATATATATATATACGTGTAAAGCTATTATTACAGTATTATTTCACATTAGTGAATATTCACAAGCTACGCATATAGTTTTGTTCTTTGACACAGATACATAACATGTAGTTGCTGCTGTGCTACAATCTAAATGGCTCAGGAAACTGAAACTGATCGTGACGATTGCAGTATTTACAGTGAAGCCTGGAAAGGAGTTTGTGAAGACAATGTAAAGCATTGTCTTTCTAAGTCGTGTCATTTTGTACAATACGGTGTTACATTTTCTTATATGGTCGTTCGTGTTTTCTAATGACAATAAAATTTAACAAAAACACGTATGGTCCTTGTAAATGACTTCATATGTTTTACTGACAAAAACATGGGATGAACAAATTGGCACAAATAACATGGACTTTCTGGGATCATCAGACATTAGACATTATATCTGTACAGCATGTCGAATTGTGACATCCTCTCTGGGAGCTTGCGTGTGTGTACGAGCCATCGACTAACGATTGCAGAGTATCCGAGCGGTCCTCTGGGGATCAGAGACTGTAGACGGCAGGTCTGGGGTCAGCTTTGCTTTGAAAGTGTGTGAATCTGTTTTTTAAGGTCGTAATGTATCCTTCCCGATCGAAACGATGGCTCCTCCTTCTCCATCCACTCCTCCGCGCAGAAGTCTGGGTAGAAAAAACGTATTTCTCTTTGTGCCGACTCAACAGAATCTGGAGGGAAAAAAAGGGAAATTTGAAAACCTGTGAACCTGTATGTGACGGGACAGCCCATCTGATAAAGCACGGCTGTAGAACATGCTGTAAACGTGTCACATTCTCACATATGTAGACACGTGACACTCAACATACTTCCTACCTGAGCCGTGAGTTGTGTTTCGTGTGTCCGTGAGTCCAAACTGAGCCCTGATGGTAGCGGGCGAGGTGTATCTGGCTCGGAACACTTTGGTCGGTCCCATCAGTTCTCTCCAGTGATGGATGGCGTCCTCTCTGGCTAAAACGTAAGCTCGCATCGGACCACTGCGGGGGAAGAATAACAAAGTCATTGCAAAACCATACACTGCTCTGTGTGGCTGTTACAGACCCCCGTGAATACACATCAGTTTATCGACTGGCTGACACGCTGAGAATGTCTCCGGTAACTCTGAATGCATCCGGAGAAAAGGCTGTTGTGGAAACTACCGATTGACTGCTGCGAGGACACGAAAGTGACAACGTGATTACGAGCCCCTTTTTGCAATCCAGAGATCCGTGTGGAGCTATTGTGAGCGGGCTACGCGGTTATTTCCAGACAAAATTGCTCGAGGGGCTGTTGTCCGCTGATAATTGAAACTCCTGTTGTGAGGTTTCAGAAAATGATTCGTTGGTGTCTTGCTGAGCATGAAATTGGAGCACCGTCAGTCACTTGACGTCAGCCCTGCGGGTTGTGTGGTACGAGTATATTTCTCACATCAGACAGAACACAACATTTATCCAAAGTAATTCATTCATTCGTCACGGTTTGGGAAACGTACAAGTATGGTAGCTTACCTTGACATGAATTCAACCAGTCTTTGGTAGAAGAATCGCCCTGAGAAGCAAACAAAAGAGAGTTAAAAAAAAAGAGCTTTTACCCTTTTTCATATAATGTGTGGAATCACTTTGTTCTTTTAAATACATTTGAACAGAAATGAGTTGTCTCCACACACCTGAATGTTCAGCATAAAAGCTCTCAGAGTCCTGTCTCCTCCACACAACATCTTTAGATCTGACAATCACAAAATTGTTGTCCAGGATTCTCTGGTGAAGAGCCTGAAAGAAAAAAGAAAAGTTGTTTTGCTGCACTGCAGCTAAAGATCACAAAACTATACTAAATATGTTTGGATTAAAACTACATACAGGGTACTGTGTGCAGATTCCTTCCAAAATACAAAAGGTAATTGTCCTCCTCTCTATTAAGATGACAACAGGCTTTAAAAAGGGACCGGTCACTTATGGAATATTTTTGAATATTAGACACCACTTTCTTTCTTCTTCATGGTTTGGATTGAAGTTAGAGTACAGCTGGTTTACACCATGTCAATGAACAGGCCAAGCTAAAATAATGCATGAATAAAAAGAGAAAGACACTTCATTTAGCAATCTAAAGAGTCTAAACTTAATACTTTATTTCAGTTTGTGAAGTCAAATTGTGGAATTGTATGGGAAATGACTTTAAATTAATTCACAATTCAGTTCAAGAAATGTATATGTGTATGCAATGTATATTCATTAAATAATTGGACAACATGGGTCATGTTTATATTAAGTGTTTTGTTGTTTTTATTTATGTTTTGTTTATGCTGTGTCCATATTTTGTTCACTTGACAACAACAGCCCTTTTAAAGTAGAGAATATGGATAAAACTGCTGAAGTAGTGTACCTAACTAAGTCAGGAGACAGTCTAGGTTAAAGGATGCGCGTGAGCTCACCTCTAAGATGACAGGATGAGCTACAGCATCTGGTTTGATGACCGCCAGGGTGAGCTGCAGCACTTTGGAGAGGCGGCGAGCTGAAAGTAACATCGTCTACGGCAAAGACAGAAAGATAATATAATATATTATTCACCTCAATAAAACGGAACTGTTCAAACTCATAAATATGTCCGTCATTAAACGTTAGCTAGACGTTAACGTTACCAACCTCTGTCCAAAACACTGGTCAGTTTGAAGACGAGAGCACAGCTACGGGTGCCGCCATGTTGTAAATACAAACTCGATACTTTGATAAACTAAGTCTCTGGTCGGCGTCTTCAAGCACACGTGATTTTAATTACGTTTATGTAACTGCGTACTGTCATATAAACGTGATTTTAACGAATGGCGAATATTCCGCGGTCAGTCCGTCCGATAATATCGTCCCCAGAAACTCAGCCAGCACACAATGGTCCTACTGCGAGGGTGACCCTAAATACAAACTCTAAAATAAACATTATGAGTTCATTTGTAAAATGAAACTATCAATAGTTAGAAGAATTGAACATGTGACAACCGGGAGTATTTTTTACTTGAGCTTCTGTGATTAAATGAACCTGTATGTGCATCTCTATGTTCATTGTGATTGATTAAGATATTCTGGTGGATCAACAGGTTGACATTTTCTTAAATTGTGTCATAAACTAGGCCAGTAAACTTGGGAAGTTTGGTCGAACATATTCTCTTTACTGTGAAATAAAGGAAATGGAGCAGAGTGGGATTAAGTGCCTTGCACAACGGCACTGCAGCAAAGTAGATTCCCTCCATATGCTTGAATTTCCATCCTCAAGTTAAATGACTGTGTCCCACTTCACTGCACTGACCTGCCACCCACCTTCCTGTCACTGTTCAAGAATACCAAATAAGAAAAAGAAGAAATTACTTCATCATCTGTCAAAAAGACTGACGATTGTGGTTCTTTATTTTTACTATCCCTGTAAAATACAACACTCAACATACTTTTTAAGTTTTTAAAAGATATTTTAAAAATAGAAAAAACACCTTCCTTTTCCATGTTGTATCCCATTGATTCACCCTTTATTTAAAAAAGAAGCATCTTGGTTAATGAACTATGAATCTTAAAAAAAAGTGAATGGAATTGTTATTTTTGTAATATTTTCTAATTTCCCTTTCAATATAAAATACAATACAATTACAGAATCCCAAGGTCTTCAAACTGTCTCATTGGGACTTTAAGGTGAAACTGTCTCAGAGCTTCATAATGGTACCCGTACAATGCAAGCAGGCCGTCCTGACAACAACGTCACAGTTCACAATTTAAAACATAGAACTGTTAGTGTTATAAAGTGTAAGTGTAGATTATGGTTGGACCATTGATAATGAGAGACAGTGACATGACAGCTACAAGCAGGGACTGGAAAGAGGGAGATATTTGAATGTGGAATGTCATCAATGTGGGAGATCAGAAATACAGTATGAGTTACAAACATGGAGCACATTCCAGCAATGCGAAATGGCCACACCCTTCAAAAGAGGAGGTTGTGTGTGTGTGTGTGTGTGCGTGTGTGTGTGTGTGTGTGTGTGTGTGTGTGAGGGGTCATTTGACATTCGCAGAGAATAGGAGGGAAGACAGGGGGGACTGATGTCCCACATTGGTTTCTCCCACCTGCTCATGTCATGTGACACCACAGCTGTTACCACCCATGGGGGGATGGAGAAGGAATGAATATAGCATGAAAACCATATACTTAAATACAAACATTGTACTAAGTGTTGTGTTATTATTCATTGTACAATGATTATCACTGGAGGAGCTACTCAGATCTTTAATAAGTAAAAGAATCACGACCACTTCTGTCATAATCCTATTCACGTTAAAGTATATATTATCAGCAATATTTACGTAAAATATTAAAAGTAAGAATACTTGCTTGGTAGAAAATTGGTCCTTGGGATTAACGTTTTTTAATAAATTACATATGAATACTGATGCATGCATGTGTAAGTATTGTACTGCTGTAGCTGATCGAGGGCTAGTTTTCATGACTTCACGGTTCGGTTGTTTAGTCTACTGTTTACCAGACAAGGGTCAGGCCCCTCCAGGGGTCACAAGGTAAATAGAGAGGAAAGAAGAGTTTTTCATGTTTTGGTTTTCTCTCTAATCTTACATTTTTTGTGAAATATTGTGAACAGTCATTCAAATAAAAACATGAGAAGTTAAAAGTGTGAATGTATCTGCTGACAACTGCTAGACATCTAACACATGACAAAAGATCTCCAACTAGACACAGTTGTTTAGTCAGTGGCCACAAGCAAAGATTTGGAACCACTGATTTAAATTTACAATACTTAATTAAGCTTTTGATCTGATGTTACCTTTATGTAGGAAAGCAATGACCCAGATAATCATTTTAACATAAAATAAATTCCATAACTGCCATTTTTTGATGACATTTTGGAGCTGAAGGAGTATGCCACAAATATTCAAAAACACTTTCTGAAGGAAGATATAATTAGAAAATCTAAATTCATTATCTTTTTGATGCCTTCCAATATCTGTAGATCAAAGTAATGCTCTCAAAGATTTTCATTTAGATAAATGTCTGTTAAGTCCCCATCTATCACTGAAGAAGGCAACACAAAGGTGATTCAGCCTATGACACAATTATGACAGTCTGGGGTTCTCTGGCAACTTTCACAGGGAAGAAAACTGCAGAATTACAGTTTTTCTCTATTGTATACACACACACAAACAATCACAATTTTGAGAACTTGAAGGTCTCATATCAACAAAAGTCTCCGGATTGTTTTCACTCCAATAGAAATTCTAAATCAAGCAGGACCGAAATCTTAATGTTTGCCACTTGAAGGATAATAAATTATCAGCATTGGGGAGCTCAAAGAGACTAAAACCATGCTCTTTATTTTCAGGGTGAACAGGTTTGAGGATGGAACAGAGACTACCGTTGATCACTGCTGACACTTGCTTCAAACATCCTCAGCTGGGTGGCTGATTCAACTGATCCCCCCCTCTGCCCACCATAAACCCCATCTCTTGTTTTATCGTGGTGTCACTGCTGCTGCTGCTGCTGCTGCTGCCTCTCCTGCAGTTGTCGTTTCCTTTTGGTGGGAGTCGGGCAGCTGACTGACGACCCCCACAGGCACTTGGGTGTCCATACGCTGCTCCACATCCATTCGTTCAGCAGGAGCCACAGTAAAGGATCATGTGTACACTATGTTCAATGTAGTACAAAGGAGAACTTGTAGAACAGCTGGAGTTATATGATGTATGTTGATAATTTATAAGAGATATATGTTTCTCACAAACTGGCCTAAAGTAAGTAATAATGGTTCAAACGGTTCAAACATGGGTTTTAACGTTGATCTAAAAATGTACTGACATGCCCATTATTGTTTACACTGTATGTTTAGTAACACTTACTTTTACCGCTCCCATAGTTTTCTATGACATCCTAAAATTGTATTGATGCAGAGCAAATTCATAGGAGGTTGTTGGAAAGGAATGTGTACTTCGGTCCTCATTGTAGGAAACATAAATATTTGGTTAGTACTCTTCCAATAGATTGACGCCTGACTGTTGTAGTCAGCTCACAGCAGGTCAGATCACATTTTGTCTACAGGCAAACAAAAAAATCAATGTACATTAAGAAAAACGTTTTAAACAATAAATGAATATTGACATGTTTTTTTAATGGATGGTCTTCATCAAGGAAAGTCATCTGGAAATCCACAACTTCTCATAAAGTCAACACACCTAACACAACTTTGACTGTATTTTCCTTAAATATTCCTTTACTTTCCAAATGCGAGGTAATGATGAGACAATTACAGACCTGTCAGTAAAAAATGTTATCATATATTCTTACATGTGATCATGGAGGTATTCAGTTTACCACACATGTGTTTCTTCTTTGTACATATCACTTATTGACTAGAGAGTTCAGTTCCTACTAGTGTGAAAGACAGTTATAAACAAATTACCAGTATTTTAGATACTATGTTTAATCCTATTACTTTAAACTGATGTTATAAATGTTGTCCTTATTTGTTGGCCTGTGGAGCCTTTTGGGAACATCGTTGCTTTATGAATAAACTTTATTCATAACATTCTCTCTCATATACCTTTTAAAAAGAAGTTTACCCTATGTGTGAGAAAATAACATGTGCTCTTGTTTGACATGTTTACTCTGGTGTACACACTGATCCACCACATTGCATCTCACCTGTCACCCGGTCACTCAGAGGCCGCCTCACCATTACAACAGGGCCATTTAAAGGGGGACACGGGCCCCAGTGTGACACCCAGAATCCCTTTATCTCCTAATTGTTTGACTGGTGAGAAAAGTTAGGGATGTGTTTCCTGTCATAACATATTTTGGGTCTTCTGTAACAGATCACAGCCTAATTAAGATGCCATATTTCAAGAAATCTATACGAACAAACCTCTAATGTATTCAAGGGGGGGGGGGCACCTTTTGTTTAACTACATGGCCAATGTGGAGATGTGTTTTAGATTGTAACCAAACAGCTTAATTCTCTGAGATAGAATAAGTTGTTTCTGCAGCCCTTCATTCTCAAATCTAAATTCATAGCATCCGTCTAAATCTGTCCCCTCTATGAATCATGGGAGGGAGTTGCCTTCACCTCTCTATCACCTGTTCTCTCGTTTAGCCTAAATGCTGGTGACCTTCGACCTTTTGCTCCGTTGCTTTACCACACGGGACCAGGCTCCCTGCAACAGCTGTGTCAACCTCAGCCCTGGCAACTGTTGTGCCCAGGGAAGGACAGAGAGTGGCATTAAATGTCAGACCACGTAATGAGTCAGCAGCATAAGATCAAGCAGTTCACTTTTACATGTTGGTTTGTCATTGGAGCATTGTTATCCTTTACCAGTTTTAAATTTGAGGTTTGAGGCTGAGTTTTTTCCCCCCTTACGCCTTACATGCAGCATATTTTGCTCTTTGCTCAAGTTATCGCTCACATAATAAAAACCTACTTTGCAAATGGAGACAATTTGTGAACATAACCACACTCTCTAACATCTCAAAACATATTATCCAGACTTTTACCAAACAATCTCGACAAAAGAAAACATTGAGTCAGACAGGAGATGTTGTGTAATAGGTGGTTTAAGTCAAATTGTCAAACTGTCCACCTCCCACGGGGGAGTTTCCTCCAAAATACAGGGGTTAATCTGCCAGGTTGTCCCGTCTTGTGCATGTGCAGGACCTGATCTGGTGTCAGCTGCCAGTTTATTTATACCAATAGAAATCCTTGCTATCCACTGTTGAAGAAACTGCTCTGGGGTTAGTTAGTCTAACTCCTACCATGCTGTCCCGAGGGAAATTATTTCCTCCTGTGTTGTGACCTCCCCAGAAGCAGTGGGACATTGGC